AGCCAAATATACCCATATGTAGTAATGCGAGATGGCTTCTTGTGACTGTGTGACTCTGTAGACTGCAGCCCGCCCTCAGGCTGACAAACTGCATGTGCTGTGTAGTCTGTTGTAGACTCGATCTCGTAGCTCATCAAGGTAGATAGCAGGCTCTCCCTCAATAACTGATCGCACGAAGTTCATATCCTGCATGTCCAGAGTACGCGGCCGGCCTCGAGGTCTAGCATTCGGGTTGATGACTGTGCCGTATTCCGTGTAGAGTCGGAGAACTTCAAAGATTGTGCTTATGCTGCATCCCGCAAGCTCAGAAATCACTCGGAGTGTCTTGTTTTGCTCATGGCGCCAGACAATGATACGTTCACGTAGTTGTCGAGTGAGGTGAACCATGGTACCAGCCAGTCGATACTTCAAGTTCGAGACGTCGATGAATGCTATCTGACAGTCACGCAGTCACAAGAAGCCATCTCGCATTACTGCATATGGGTATATTTGGCTCGAACAAACAATGCTCACGGAAACCCGATTTTCGGTTTCATATGCAAACGACTGTAGGCTTGTTTCTGTCGTCACCCGGGTGCACATACCAGGTCGATGGATTAGACTCTGGTGCACTCAGATTCATCACAAACGAATAGGCCGAAGCATTCGAGTCTAGAATTCCAACTGCGGTGAGACCAGCTCAGGCGCAAAATAGCACATACAAACACAGATAAGCGTACAACAGATCAACAATGAGTGCCCGCACTCGTCTCTCATGCATGCAAAGCCTTAAGCCTCTGCACAGCATGCTTGAACAAATGCGAAGGCGAAGTCACCGGCGACTTCACCTGCTGCTTCCCCGCCCCTCTCTCCTGCTGCCGCACGGGCACGACAACCAGCTCACCCATCCCCTCGCCCTCCGGCATATCAGGCACCTCCACCGCCGGATCGTTCGCGTGCGTCTCGGGCGTGATCGGGCCCTCGCTCTCCTCGCCGCTGGATGAAGACGCCTCAGAGTCCGACTCTGAGCCGGACACGAACGGCGGGAGTGTCTGCGGCGCAGCGGTATCGCTCGCGATGCGGCCGATGAGCGCGCGAGGCGGGGAGGAGACGGTGTGCCCGTGGCGAAATGGCCCTTCGCTCACAGGCGGGAGGGTCTCGTCGCTGAAGTCGCTGCTGCTGTCGGTGCTTTGTCCTGGAAGCGTGCTGTCGTCGGGTAGCGCCCTCGTCGGAGGTCCAGCTAGCTCGGCTATCGGCGGCTTCACCGCATACGACTCGTCGGCGATCCTGACGTGTTCGGACGCCCTGGCGGTGTCGGCTCTGCTCATCCAGAAGCTGTCCATCTTCAGTACCGCTTCCCTGAGGTCAGGGATGGTTATGCGGGAGTGCGGGTTGAGCGTGAAGATCCGCCGGAGAATCCGGTTCGTGCCCTTGGATATCGGTAGCATTTCCTGTAGAAAGTCACGGTTGTGGAGGTAGGCGCTGAAGCACTCGTCGTCCGTGGTGGCCCATCGCCAGGGGTTTCTTCCGGTAATCATGTTGGTGAGGATGATGCCTAGGGACCAGATGTCGCTGTGCCTAGTCGAATAGGCACCCAGATCGAACTCCTTTCCTATGCATTCTGGAGAGACATTAGACGCATTGGTACGATGATATTATGGCGAATGACGTACCGGGGCTCATGTAATATGAGCTGCCGCATCCAAAGTCGCGACTGACAGGCTCTTTTGTGGCGAGTCCAAAGTCCGATAAGTAGAGCCGGCTACCGTCTTCTGAACAGAGAATATTTTCAGGCTTGAGGTCGCGATGGAAGATACCTCTATCATGACACCATTGAACTGCGTCGAGCAGCTGCAGGAAAGCCTTCTTAAGTAGCGCGTCGTTCCGGTGATAAACGTGTCGTTCAGTGATAGCGCCGAAGAGATCACCGCCAGGGCAAAGATCCAGAACCAGGTAGACATAGTGCTCTTCTTCGATGACGCCGTGGAGGGTGAGGACGTTCGGATGGTCGGAGGCCACGGCGTGTAGAGCTAATTCGCGCGCCTGGAAGCGTCTTTGCTTGGGAGGGAGGTCGCGTTGGAGACACTTGACCGCGTATCGTTTGCCTCCGGGGCGCACGGAAGGTCGTGTGTCGAGGGCACCGTAGACAACGCCGTAGGCACCCGTGCCGATTACTTCCAGAAGTTTGATGCGACCGCCGTCGATGGTCTTGCCGGTAAAGTCAGGCAGCGAAGCACTTGCGTTGACCATGGCGAATACTTGATGGGCGATAGGCGAGCTTGAGAGCGGAGAGAGAAGCAGCTGAGGACGAGACTAGCGTTCCAGACGAGAGACTTGAAGAGAGTACTGTTGACGACGAGCCTGACCTGTGGAGCAGCATGGCTTTATAGAAACTGGCGCGTACCGCGGATGTCGCGGATGTGTCGGTCGCAGCGGATGTCAGAGGCATCGAGGGCGGGCGATCTGGTCCAGTTTGCGACGAAGTCCACATCCTGGGGTAAAGACAGCATTGTACCAGGCTCGTCGGCGATAGGGGCGGTGATATTTGGATCGAAACCGAGAGTCTAGACACTGGGCCGCCGTCGGCTTCAGGTTGCTCGCCGTCGTCGCGGATGGCGGGGGCGGCCCAGCGCGTGCCGTCGGTCCCGCGCCGCCGCGTCGGTGGCGCCCCGCTTTGAAGAGACACAGCCACCTCTTAGCCCGCTGCCATACTAACATGCAATAATAATGAACTTGCAACAAATATTGTTGGATTCTAGGAGTGGACGACCTCGCAAGGTTGAGGGGACTGCCACAGGCGGCTGACTGGTAAGGTGATGAGCGCGAATCGTATATAATCGTTGCCCAGTCCCACCACGGGCAGGCGCATTCTTCCACTCACTCGTTTATACAAACATCCAGCTCTCCCTAGTACAACGAAGAACGGACATCTGACAGCGCTGCGCTCACAGCGATGGATTCATTCTGGACCGTTCCGACAAAGCTCCGGGGTATCCTGGGCCCATGCCCGTGGACGTTTACCCACCGCTGAGCGGACCGGATCGACCGCGATACCCCGTCTTCCCCTCAAATACAGGAGCTGCGATATCTCCTGGACGCCGTACGCTTGTGCATCGCCCTCAGCTTCATACAAAATGTCCGACAACCCATCCTTCGTCCTCAAAGCCATCGAAAAGGTCGAGTACGAGCAGAGGCCCATCCCAGAGAGTGCGTCTGCCTTCATTAATAACTGCGATCATTGCTGATGCCTTCATCGTCTTAGTTGCCGACAATGAGGTGCTGATTGAGGTCAAGAAGACCGGTCAGTCGATGAATAAGCTTCGGCAGCACGATCTAACAGTGCTGTCGCTCCAGGTATCTGTGGTTCTGATGTGCACTACTTGGTACATGGCCGCATTGGAGACTTCGTCGTCGAAAACCCGATGGTCCTCGGCCATGAGTCGGCAGGTGTTATCTCAAAGGGTACGTTTAGTTTCCTGCCGACCAAACAAATGTCTGACTATATCCCGTTTGGTATAACAGTGGGGAAGGCGGTGAAGAATGTCAAGCCCGGAGACCGCGTCGCAATGGAGCCCGGAACAACCTGCAGAGTATGCGAGTATTGCAAGAGCGGTCGTTACGAAGTTCGTCGTATGTCTCATTAAGCCGGGATTCACTCTAACGCCTCCCTCCGGCAGCTTTGTGCAGACATGGTATTTGCCGCTACACCTCCATATGACGGCACCCTCGCGCGTTACTACGTCCTCCCCGCCGACCTTGTATATCCTCTCCCCGACCACCTGACTCTCGAGGACGGCGCAATGGTGAGCATGCGTAGATCTCCCCAGCAGGAAATCCGCGTATCGACTCTTTCACCCTACAGATGGAGCCACTCTCCGTCGGTGTCCACTCCGTCCGATCCATCGCCGACGTTCGCGCCAACCAGACCGTCGCCGTCTTCGGCTGCGGGCCCGTCGGCCTCGTCTGCATGGCCGTCGCAAAAGCGCTCGGTGCCTCGCGCGTCGTCGCCGTCGACATCGTGCCCGCGCGCCTCGACTTCGCCAAGTCCTACGCCGCGACGGACGCGTTCCAGCCGCCCAAGATGGAGCCCGGCCAGAGCAAGATCCAGTACTCACAGAATTCGGCCGAGCTGATGAAGAAGCAGCTCGGCCTACCCAAGGGTGTGGATGTCGTTGTGGACGCGAGCGGCGCGGAGGTGTCGATACAGACAGGCATGTTCTTGGCGAAGATGGGCGGGACGTACGTCCAGGTCGGAATGGGCACTCCGGAAGTCCAGTTACCCATCACCACGATGTTGACGAAGGAGCTGGTATTTAAGGGCTCTTTCCGCTACGGAGTACGTAGCTTCCTATATTCAGAATCTGACAGACGCTAACCGGTATCTCTAGCCCGGCGACTATCAATTCGCTATTGACTTGGTTGCTGCGGGCAAGATTGACCTCAAGCCACTCATCACGCACAGGTGCGTTCTGGTTTTGCGTCCCATTCTGTTCGAAGGTACTGACTGGATTCTGTTAAGATTTGCGTTTACGGACGCGGTCAAGGCGTTCAATGCGACGCGCCAGGGCAAGGGCGACGACGGCAAGGGTGTCATTAAAGCCATTATCTCCGGGCCTGACGTCCCAGTAGGGCCTCTGTAAATGAGTCTTCCTTCTGTGTAGGATAGTGTAGCATACGCCGACAAATGAAATCCAAAATCCACTGCGCGCCAGGAGTTCTCCAGATACTTGTAGTGCGTGACGCGACGCGCTGAATTAGACGCGTACTGTATCACTTGACTGCCGTAAGCTCTCTCCTTTGCTCAGCCGTCCTGAATACTCCTTATACGCGTTCCCAGCACAGCTGATCCGCCTTGCAATCCATACATCAGACAGCATGCCCTTCCGCGCCCGCAACCTCTTTTACCTGAGGATATCCACCACCGACGTCTTGCCTTTGTATGTAAGTCTGGTAAATAGTATGCAGGCCGTTTTGTCTGACGTGCCAATCCCGAAGCTCTATCTGGACGAGCGACACATCGATTGGATGTCTGATGGCGTCCTCCAGCATGTCCTGGCAGACCTGAGACCTCTGTACGCCCCTACCCTCGCCAGGCGAGGTTGTACTCTGATGCATTCGCAGAATTATACCCAAGATGAAAGCTGAGTCGCATATGACGGAAGGTAGTGGCAAGAGGGGGACTGTGGACGTCCATAGAGGGGGTACGTCAAAGCGGTTCGGTCTATGTTGCCGTATTCCGATTCACCGTCCTGGTCGGCAGACTTCTACCAGTTTGCTTACTTCTTCCGCGGGGCGGAGTCTCATTCCGTCATTCTCAAGGCAAGTCACTCGTCATGTTGCATTATATTTACCGAAATCTGAGATTTTGCAGACGAGGAACTTCACGATCGCACCCATTCCCCCCAAAGGCCAGATGCTACCACCCCCTCCGCCAGATGTGCCACAATCAAGAGGTGGAAAGAGAAAGAAGGCCAAGGGTTCCTCCGGACAGAAGAAACCAAAAGGTAAGGCCCGCGCCAAAACACGAGATATCGACGAGGAAGGACTCCGAGATTTTGAAAGCGAAGACGAAGACATTGATGACGACTACGCGGAGTACATTCCGCGTGCCCGGTCGAGAAGGTCAAGTAGGAAACCGGCGAGAAAGGACCGTGACCATATTGATGTGGACGACGATGTCGCACCGGATGACACGGAAGACGTTGAGATGGCCCAGCCCACCCAAGAAGGCATAGTCAAAGAGGAGGCTGAAGATGCTCTACTTGCCACTCCAACTCCCGAGACTCTAGCTGCGCAGGAATCGATAACCACAACTTCGTCCCGAACCATTCGTCGAGTGGTAATCAACATAGACGAGGACGAAGAGAAGAAACCAAAACCAGTGCTTCAGCTCAAGTACAAAGGCTTCAGTATCTCCGATCGCTGCCTCTGCGTCGTCGTAGAGCCCTGGCCTCCTATTCGTTCAGCTAGTCGCGCCCCTTCTGTCGCACCCCTGCAGTCTACGGGATTGAGACGACCGAGCATCGCTCCTCCAGACTTCGTACCCAGCACGGGCTTACGGGAGCGCACGCCGTTGTTCCTCCCCGATGACGAGCGGCAAGAGACACCAGCCCCGTTCAATCAGCGTATATTGCTTCCAGTCCCTGGTTTCAACGACCCCCCTCAGACTATAGACCTGGACGAGAACGATGAGAGCGACATGATGGCATTCACTCAGGTCCTCAATTCGGCTGGTGGCTTGCGAGGCACTGAAGCAGATGACGACGATATGGATGGCGCTGTTCTATTCGGCGATGCTGACGAAACAAGAGAATTATGATTCCTGGATAGTACAGTCTATAGATGCTGTAATATACGGAAGTCACATAACGTAGTACTTTTATCCATTAAGGGATCATGCTCGACCTATCTCCTTCAGGATCTCCAACCTTCGCAGCTCGGACACCTCGCGGAAGCCAGCGTTGGCCATCTCGAACAGTCCGTGCCCGCCAGACAAAGCTCGTAACCTACTGGAATAGTCAAGCATCCGGCTCAATGGCGCCAATGCATAGATGGACCGTTTCAGCCGCGCAGGGGATCCCTCAGATTGCGTAAACGACGAAGACGAAGGGGAAAGCCATTCGGGAGGCGTGTAGATGCCGTCGTCTGGGTAAGGATCCAACTCATCTTCCCCAGCTGATAGTGCCGTAGCGTCAGCGCCGAGGTCTTGGATCTCGCCACCGTTTTCCGTTAGATCCTTTACAATCTTCCCCAGACTGTCTTCGTTTACCGTGACCTTGACACGGATGTAAGGTTCCAGGATAGGCCCCGGACCAAATCCGCGGATGTGATTTCGTAGAATGAACGCGCTTGCCCCCGCTAATGTGCTCGCCGGTGCCTCCTCAGGATAACGATAGTTGGTAATTTGGATATGCAAGTGTGATAGTGGCAAGGACGTATGAGGTGAATTGGACAGAGCATCGGATACACCCCTCGCTATGCATGCCATAGGATCATCTTGCCTTGCCGCTGATTGTGGAGGAGGTAGGGATTTGCCGTTCTTGCCTAGGACCACATTGTCATCCCAGAGAGGATCACCGTTTTCGGAGGACTCGAGCTTTCTGATCTTGAACGACACAATGATTTTGACCGGCCTACCGCCTATTTCCGTCGGCCACGAGTCCGCGTTCTCTTCCTGGATTCCAGGCCCGAGCCCCTCTCTGTAGCTGACGCGACGCTTGCCGGCCTCAAAACTAACATTCCATTCATCCCGCAGACGGCCTTCGATAATCTCAAGATGCAGAGCCCCGAGTCCATGCACCAAGAGCTGCCCTTCTTGGGTCTCCACGCGCACAGAAGGGTCAGTTCGAGAGAGTGCATGAAGCGCTTCTTGCACTGGCTCTAGGTCTGCATGAGATTGTGGAATGATGGAGGCAGACATTACCGCCTGCGGAGGTGTGATGTCGCGAGAGACGGCTGTTTCCAACTCCTTTGACATAGGGTACACGAGAGTATCTCCCGTGCGTGTATACTTCAATCCAAGAACAACCCCAACGGCTCCGAACGGGAGCTCATCGACTTCTTCTGCCTCAGACGCGTATAGTAGAAGAAGCTTTGACACCTTTTCCTTTTGATTTCGGGTTACGTTGAAGATGGCACTCTGCCGTCTGAGCGTCCCTACACAAGAGTTCAGACCCACCAGCGAACTAGCTGCATCCACTTACCAGAGTATACACGTACGAACGTCATCCAGCCCTTCCTTTTGTCCCAGCCTACTTTCCACGCGAGCAACCGGACCGGAGACTTCGGCGACTGCTTGTCGTGTGGCACATCCACAGGACTAGCCAATAGCTCTCCTACGTAGTCCAGGAGAATATCTGTCCCAATTCCCTTGATGGCAGACCCGCAGAAAACAGGAAGGATCTCCTTTCGCAGTGTCATTGCGCGAACCTCAGGTAGGATACCGGTTGCATCGACGGTAAGATATGCGGAAGGGGAGGATGGCAGACTAAGCAGGGACTCCATGAGTTGCTCTGAGAACATCGAGAGGCTTTCCAGCAGCTCAGTGCGTGCAGCCACGAGATGGGCCAGCAAAGGATGCGACGCAGGCAAGATGCCACAGCCGGCGAGTTCATAGGCTTCCCTTGGTAAAGGAGTTCGAACAGATTCCCGCTCATCATTCCACTTCCAGACTTCCCATTTCACGAGATCGACAAGGCCCTCTATTCCGGGTTCAGCGGTCTTGTAGTTGCTGGGGTCAAAAGAAGCTATCGGGAGCGTAAAGGCTATAGGCTTCGGATGCAGACGATGCGACAGCAGGGACCGTATCGAGTTTCGAAAAGATGCACCAGGTCGGTCAAGCTTATTGAGGAAGACGACGCGGCTCGGAACGTCGTACCTAGGGGGCGAATTGAGCAACCACTGTAAAGATAACCGTCATGGCATCTCTCACCTACGATGCTGCTTACCTATCCAGCTGTCTCCATACTCCCTTCGTCTGTGCCTCGACACCTTCCACGGAATCGATTAACACTACCGCACCGTCCACCACTCGGCTTGCACTTTCTACTTCCATACCAAAGTCGGCATGGCCAGGCGTATCAATCAAATTAAAGGTCCAGTCCCTCCATTTAACGGGAATGCTAGCGGACTGTATTGTTATCCCCCGCTCGCGTTCTGCTGGTAGGAAGTCGGTGGTTGTGCTGCCAGTGTCCACTGAGCCTGCTGACGAAAGGTAGGAAGACTTCAGAAGGATAGATTCAGTCAAGGTGGTCTTCCCAGAATCTGTATTAAGCGTATCAGGTATAACCACAGATGAGGCATGAATGGTACTCACCTATATGGGCAACAACTGCCATATTCCGGAACTTGGAAGGATCGTGATCAGCCGTCGTCGCATATCCACGTTGAACGAGGATCGTCGTCCGCTTGCTGTAGGTTGCATAATGTCGGATAGTCTGTCGGAGGCTAGCGAGCATGACCCGGCCTGACAAGAGGTGCAAGACTCCGAAGCAAACTGGTCTCGGAGGCTCGGGACTCGGAGCGCACTGAAGGCAAACTGGGAACGAAAGTGGCTGTGGCGTACGGTACCACTGCACTATAACAATGTCCGACAATTCTGCTATTGTTTCACTCCCGCCGCGCTGGCCAGTGCCCTCGTCTACTCCTCCATGGAACCGTCTTCTAGTCCTGAGGTAGTCGATACTTTCGAGGTAAAGTTGAGACAACGCCAGACGATGCCCAAGTCACATGCGCTGGACACGATACCTGCAAATCCTGCCCATCAGCCACACGGCAATATTCCGAATACACCTCTTGCAATATCCACTATATCCTTCATTCTAGGCGGTATATTCTCGCTGGGCTTATTGACTTTCCTCGTCGGAGGTTTTGAGGCTTTCTGGTGGGCAACGTATCAATTGGGTTTCTTTGTGGCAGCATGGGCCGCCTTCCATTGGGGCGAATTCGCTGTTACGGCAGGTTGGAATAAGGACAAGTGTAGTGTCGATTGTGAGTCTCATTTTGCTCAGTAGATGAACGTTCATTTCATGACCACATTGCTGTTCAGCATTCCTGCTTGATAACGGTGCCATGTACCATGTTGCCAATGGTGTGGCTGTTCTCGAATATCTCGTCACTCTGTACTTGAAGCCTTCGCTAAAGAGCTACCCATCAATCAGCGCACTTGGTTAGTTTTTTTCCTCATTGTACACGCAAAATACGTTAACCAATACGCCTTAGGCATCCTCATGGTCATCGTTGGGCAAACATTGCGTTCGACTGCTATGATTCACGCATCCACGAACTTCTCCCATTCTGTCGCTTTTCAAAGGCTAGAGACGCATCAGCTTGTCACTGACGGTGTCTATCGGTATAGCCAGTCCCACTCGTTTGGTGGTTGTGTACTTACTCGATATTGTAGATGGTTCAGACATCCATCCTATGCAGGCTTCTTCTACTGGGCATTAGGCACGCAGCTTTTGTTACTCAATCCCGTCAGCTTTACTGGATTCGCCGTTGTGCTGTGGAGATTCTTTTATTATAGGACAAGGGGTACGTCGTCCACATTCGCATTCACCGTCTTCCTACGTCTGATCCACTAGCAGCGGAAGAAAGAGCTCTAGTCAAATTCTTTGGAGATGCCTACGTGGAATATCGAAAGCGAGTCGGCACACGGATACCCTTTATACCATAGGACCGGAATCATCTTTACCTGTAGATCCGTGCTTGACGAATATTCACAAAACGTATGAGAGAATGCGATCCGCCCATAGGCGGTGAAACATAGCATATGCCGGCATAATAGCATAGGTAATGAGGTAGAGATACACGACATGCCAGTTTTGCCTCGACGAAGGACGTCACCCCAAAGCAAAGAACGAAACCCCGTAAGTGGGTTTACTCCGTGATAACCGTGCCCTTCTCCGACACGTAGATACCGTCCAAGAATTTACGGATATCCTTGTTCCGCACACGGCAGACGCCCTGTATCGAAGCAGCTGCGATTCCTGTTAGTATTCAAGAACAGCACAAGATGCGAGCGAAAGTACACACCAGATTGTGAGACATTCTGTACGTCGTTGCCCTCAAGAATCAGCTCGTCTTTCTGAGTCTTTGACTCAGAGATCGTGACACCGTCCAACATGGCCACACTCCGTACTAACTGTCGATATAACATGATTTGAGATGAAGTGTTCAGCATATCATGGCAAACTACGAACCTTCTCCCCCAAGAAGTTACGGATCTCCAATGCCCGTCCGTTCTCCTGGATAATGCAGTTGATGGGGAAGTGAGCATATACAGCACGCATCTTGTACCGGAAGCCCTGCAAGTCAAATGTTACAAGCGGGACTAGGCAAAGTAACATGCATACGGACCTTCGTGACACCGATGACCATGTTCTCAATCAAACTACGGATCGTCCGTAAGCATGCAACGTGCTTGCGTCCTCCCTGCCAGACGGACAGCAAGACCTTGTTGGACTTGGCGGACTTCTGGAGATTGATGTCCATGTTTATGTGGCGGACATTCTTCTTCAGCTCTCCACGGGGACCAGTGACGGTGATGATGCGGGACTTGATGTCGACAGTGACACCTTCAGGAATTTCGAGCTCTTCGGTCTTGAGGACGTCCCGCATCTGGTTGGGCAGACATCAGTACACCGTACATCCATAACTTCGGCGACCAATCCAACCCCAACCACGCCAATTCAACCACTCAAACCACTTCCAGCGGCCCAGTACCATCGTACGCCGGCACCAGGATGTTCAACGAGGAGGATACAGGCAGTACTCACCGTGGAATGGTATGTTTTCTTGAGGCTGGAGGTTACGTCGGGCCCGGTGCCGCCTAGTCCGTGTGGCTCGCAAAGCGGAGTTCGAATCGGGTGTATTGTCGTCACGCGTGTCCGTCACACTGTCGTTCACTCTTGACTATCAACCACCATCACCCCCGAGTTCGAGCAGTTTTCGGTGCCAGCCATTAGAGACGGTTTAAGCGGAATAAATTCTGCGATTGCCCTACACTTTGCTTCACTTGGCCGTCTTCCGAGGACATTTAGCGTGTCTACCTAGATTTTGCCTCTTTGCCGGTGAGGTCGCATCGACGACAGCGCATCTGTATTGGTGGACTCCAGCGTATGAGTTGGAACACAATGTCCCTCTACCCTCCAAGCACTTCCTACGGTCAGATGCCCTTCCCTCAACAGGGATACGTGCATCGTGGGCCACCTCCCGTGGCTCCTCAATATCAGTATCAGCCACCGCCTCCTGTCTACTACATGGACCCCACTTCGTTTCGAGAGGATTACTTGCAGCGTCTATCGATGCTCAACGTTAATTCGAGACCACTGATCCAGAGTCTTTCCATGATTGCACAGGAGTATAGTCGGTGGGCTGAAATCGTGGCGCAATGCATTGAGACGCATATACGAAGGGTGAGTACTCCTATCCAATTGCTGCACTGTTTTTGCGCTTTGATTATGTCTGTGGTCATGATGATGATCGTCGTCGCTGTCGTCGGGTGGGGTCCAAGAATATAAAAAATGAACAATAGTCGCGGCGATGTCATGTACTTAGTAGTAGTTTTGCGTTGTTGAGCAAAAGACAACTGGGTGGCCTTTGGCCGTCGCTGTCGATGCGGCGAGGTGAACACGCTGCTCGGGCGTTGTAGCCGCCGCTATCGCTGCGTTGCTCTGCTGTCCGCTGCCGTTCTCATTGCTCATACTCGTCATCCTTCACTGCGCGGAGTGCTGACTCACGGTTGCCTTATTTGGCAAATATCTTTTAGGCTTCCCCTTGGATGAAGTTACCCGCCTTCTACCTCCTCGATGCCATCTCGAAGAACGTCTACGAGCCGTATGCTCGCCATTTCACACCCTTCGTTACTCCCTTGTTCCTTGAGACCTATGAACAGGTTGACCAGAACACGCGCAGCAAGATGGAAGAGATGTTGCTGACCTGGCGAACAGGCGCGCCCAATGGCAAGGAACTTTTCGGCATCGGACCTCAAGTCAGCATTGAGCGGGCTATCTGGGGTGGCGGCGACTCGAGCTACGGTGCCGATGTGAGTACCGTCACTGCCAAACAGCCTCGTTCGCTCAATAAGCGACGCCAGACCTCTCGGACAGGGCGAGGATCCGCTCCCGCGCATGTCTCCAAAGCCCAAGTTCTCAGTGAACTCGATTTTACCATGAGTCAGAGGGAGCGCGCACTGCAGCAGAATCCTTACGACGCGACTGCTCAGACGCATGTCAATGTCTTGCGACAGGTCAGATTTTACACGATCCCTAGCTGTCTCTATGGCGTGCTGATTTGCTATCCTCCCAGTTACGTAGTGTTGTGGAAGCTGGCGTGTCCCAGGATGAACTCCGCGAGGTGTTGAATCAGTTACGGGCGCTCTCAAGGTCAATCCCTCCCCCTCCGGCAGCAGCTCCCCAAGCAGCACCGTATCAATCCCCTCCACCTCCACCGACGATCCCATCCTATCCCCCAGCTCCTGCTAGCTATCCGTCGGCCCCGAATTATAGCGCGCCTCCATCCCAGCCGTCGTACCCGCCTCAACCATCGTACACGCCGCCTCAGCAGGAGTCGAAACCGTGGCCTTCGGCTCTACCTCCGGCTAGCGCTCTGCTCCATGCTTCCGCCGCTCCCCCTACAGCGGGACCTTCTTCGCTACCCTTAGGCAACATAGAAAATCTGTTCAGCGCTCTTGTGAAGGCAGGTGTCGTCTCGTCAAACAACGGTACCCCAACTGGTGCCGGTGCCACTGCGAAGGTCGAGGATGTAAAACCCGATGAGGTAGATCCCGCTCGTCGAGCCTCACGGGAGTACAGGAAAGCTATTTTAAGCCAGAAGATCCGGTTGACCAATGCGGACATCACTAGGTACGTGCTGTGTTCGTCATGGCAAGAGGTTGTTTGAGGCTGAGGAATGGACTAATTTAGACAACGTCCGGATGTAGTGTCATTCTTGTATGACCGTCTGCCATCACAGTGCAAACAATGTGGTCTGCGCTTCGCAGACAATCCTATAGGCAAGAAGAAGATGCAAGATCATCTTGACATGCACTTTAGACAGAACCGTAAGGCGAGTCAGAATGTAGGACGCGGACACAGTCGTAGCTGGTTCGTTGGAGTGGAGGTGCGTTCCCGTTCCCTCACCCTCACAATCCCTACGACATTGGAACTAATCCTTCTTGACACAGGACTGGATACATGAAGTGGCGGATAGCAAGGGCAAGGGTCGTGCCGATCGACGTATGAATGCTAAGGAAGCGGCTGCGGCTGCTGCAAAGGAGGAAGAGGCAGCTCTTCGCGCGTCTCACGTGGTTGTCCCTCCGGGTGACGAGGCAAAACCCATATCATGTCCGATCTGTAAGGAGACTATGCAGTCTGAGTTCCTCGAAGATGAGGAAGAATGGGTCTGGCGGAATGCGGTTAAGAAAGACGACCGAGTGAGTCTTCCGTTGTCGACAAGGCCTCGCAGCAGTGCTAATGCGTCACACTACAAGATCTACCATGCAACCTGTCACGCGGAAGCTATGTCATCCAACAGACTGGCGGCTTTGCTGCGCAGTGAGAAGGCTAGTCGGAGCCGTTCAGTTACTCCGGATACATTAGCTCTGCGGACAACGCCTCCTCGAAACTCTCTGTCGAGCACCGACGGGAGTGTAAGAGTTCCTGTCTCGCCTTCAACACAGCCGAGAGTGGCTGGTACAAAGCGTAAGGCCGAGGATAATGGCAGTACCCTGAAGGAAGGTGGCGGAACACCGCCTTTGAAGAAGATGACCGTTTCGACAGCTGCATGAGGTTGGTTTGGATCTGGATATAGTAGAGCACGGACAAAGCACTACGCTGGCATTATCATCTGCATTTTCATTAATACTCGTCATTGCATTGCATTTGTACTCCTACGCATGCACGACTCTAGAGGAATATATTATTTTTAACTTGCCTATACATATATGCTACCGTGTGGACGAGTCTGAACATCTTTCCGGGAGATATACTGCACAAGATAAGGGACGTCGACTGTAAGATCTGCCACATACGACCACACAGACAACTCCACCATGAAATTCCTTGGGAGCTTGCGAGACCTAAGAAAGATTGGCTTCATAGTACCTTCTTCGAACACAGCGCTCGAGCCTATAACGACCTTCATAACTGGACAAATTCCACACCGAGTCTCTCTACATTTCAACAGAGTAGCCGTCCGGACACTTGACACAGACGACAGAAGCATAGCACAATTCGGAACCGAGAAGATGCTGCAGAGTGCAGCCTTGCTGAACGACTCGGATCTTGACGCCATCCTATGGAACGGGACCTCCGCCAGCTGGAGCGGCGGAGGTCTACAGGCAGATATTAGACTCGCGGAGGAGATAACGAGTGCTACGCACTTGCCGTGCTCCACTTCCACACTTGCTCAAGTGGAAGTGCTGAAACTCAGAGGAGTTAAGCGGCTCTCCCTCACAGGCCCGTATGTGGATGGTCCAATGCGGGGCCTTGTGGCCTTCTACGAGGGACTGGGATACGAGGTGGTGAAGACGTCACAGATGAACGAGAAAGACAATGTTGTCTTCGGAAATACACCTTTGGCCCGCATACGAGACTTGCTCAGGGAGGCGGACCACCCCAACGCAGAATGCATCGTGGTCGCTTGCACGAACTGGCCGGCAGCGCTCGTCTTGGAAGAGATGGAGGCGGAGCTGGGAAAGCCAATCTATGACAGCGTCTGCGTCACCCTCTGGAAGGCTCTGAGGATGGTGGACGTGAAGGTGCCACTGTTTGGCTGGGGGGAATTACTGCGAGAGGATCCCACCCTGGCGCAAATGCAGAACATATTAGCGGACTTGATGAAAACTTGCACTGCCAGCAGGACTACGCTTCGTTTGGATATACCCCAGAAGAATTGCCGCGTCGACACCGTATGCGCGGAAGTATGCGGACCTGGGATCGCCCAGCTGAAACTCAATTCGTCACTGAATCAACGAGCGATGGCCACAGTGCAATGGCTAGAGCGGACGCACCAAGTTCTCATCCAGGGTGACCTAGCCAACACGGACGTGCCGCCGCCAAAAGCGCTGACCGATGTATACTCGGTCAAGGCGCAAATGTTAGGACCGCTTATCCACGATGACTTCGTGTACGGGTGGATATCTGTTCATCAAGTGGGGTCAACGAGGAAGTGGTCAAATGAGGAGGTGGAAGCACTGAAATCGGCTGTGCAAATGACACATGCGATATTGAAGGCTGACGGGTGGATCGAATGAACTGCGCGACTCGGGATGCTGTAGTTATGAAAGCAGGCGAACTTGAAAGGAGGTAGTCTGACCCTGGTCACTCTATAGTGTGATCCAGCTAAAGCGCTCGCCGTCTCCAGCTGCTTTAGGAGACCCCAGAAGTATGCACGTACAATCCTATCTATGGCGTGTAAATGTCACTAGAGGCTCCTCGATAATGATGTCCACTCACCAAGTTAGCAACTTTGCTCGAGATGCCACTCGGCGCTGTGGGAGCCGGATTCAGCAGCGACGAAAACCGCAAGTATGAAAGATTCCGCCATCGATAGACACTTTGCAGAACAGGCGTATTTTCATTCAAATATGTACCCTGGTCGAAGCCTTATAATTCCGGCCACCGCAAAATGCAGCTCAGCTTTCAAACTCTTTCACCACATCCGCATCCGCATCGACGTCAGCTTCCAACTCCTCGATGTCCTCCACCCCGCCCTTGAATTTCTGGTCCTCGCTCGCAGCCGTCAGCGCGGTCTGGTAATGGCTGCTCGTCTCCGCCTTGGTGACCTCGCGCAGCGCCATCGTCGCGTACGCCGCCGTGCCGAGCGTGAGCTTCACCTGCAGCGCCATGAAGCGGCCGTCCTCGACGACCGCGGGCGGGTCGAAGCCCAGCAGCTTGTCCTCGTCCGCCTGCGCGAGCGGCACGTCCGGGTCCGTGTAGCGCAGGATGGAGTAGGAGAGCGAGCTCGGGAGGTGCAGGATCTTGCGGTAGGACCCGCCCATCGTGTACTCCCTTGTATTCGGGCCGGATCAGTCGCGGTTCGCAGAAGCCCGAGAGGAGGCCAGCTCACTTTTGTTTCCGCACCCAGTTATCCGGGTCCAGCCCGTCGGCTCGCACGAACTCCTTGTACCTTTCTCCAAGCTGTCCGCCGGGGTAGGCCACGTCCCTTCCCGGAAGGGGCATGACGACGTCGAAGATAGTATACTTGTCCACGTCTTCAGCCGTCAGCGTCTTGACGCGGTGCGGCTCCTTGGCCTTCCATTCTCTCTTCCTGCGGGGCTTCTTGTCTTTGGCGGCTTCCGCCGGCGTCTCTGCCGCCTCAGCTGCAGCTAGAATAGCGATAAGTAGCGGTGAACAAGCCATGTCGAATAAGACAAAAACCAACCTGCACTTTTCTCGGCGGGAACAGAGGCAGCGGCAATGTCCCCTTCAGGTCCGACGACGGCGATAGGCTCCGCGCCGTCCTCGTCCGCCTTGGCGGGCTCGTCCGTGTCGAACACCAAATCGCCCACGACGGGCTTGTCCGCGCCGTACATCCTAATGCGCTCCGACACGATCGCGTTCCAGAGATAGCTCTGGTACGCATGCACATACATCAGCCTCAGATTCTTCGGGATCTGCCAGACGAAGGATACGGATGTGAGGGCCCCTATACAAAACGTCACACGAGCCCAGCTTACCGTCTGCAGCGCCCCGAACGCATTCCGCGTCTCCCCGCGCTGCTTCTTGTAGCTCTCCAAAATACAGCGCTCGGCGACGACGCGGCGCGGCATCGCCTCCAGCGCCTTGTCCAGATCCCCCTCGACGAGCCACGCGCGGCGGGCGCGCACGACGTCCGGGTGCTCGCCGGGGCGCTCGCGGAGGATCATCGACACCGCGGCGTGCCAGTCGCCGCGGAGCAGCGCGCGCCCGATCGAGTGCGTCGGGATCGAGGCCGTGCCGAAGCGCTGCATGCCGTAGTAGTTGACGAACCCGTGCTGCCGGAGCGAGGCCATCGCGCGGGCGAGCGTGTCGACCGAGTCCACTTGGACGTTCCTGCGCGGCGGGGCGGGGCGGGGCGCGGTCAGCAGGGTACGGATATCCGAGCGAGCGAGCGACGTGCGCACCTGAGCGTGATGACGAACGCGTTGCCCTTCAGGTTCCCGAGCTCCAGCCCCGCGCGCCGATACGTCAGGTCGGCCACCCGCACGCCGCGCTCGCCGCGCGCGCCCAGCGCGTCCTCGAGCGTCCGCCCAGGGCGGTGCATCGCGTTCGCGAGGCGCCACACGTCCATGACGTCCTTGTTCCCCCGCTTGAGCGAGACGCGCTGGACGGTGACGCCGCGCTTGTCCTTGGTGCCCGCGACGGCGAGGTCGCGCGCGGGGACGTGCAGCGTGCGCGCGAGGTGCGCGAGCGCGTCTTGCGTGTCGCGGTTCGTCTTTTGGAGGGTAAAGTGGATGTAGGGGGGGAAGTTGCCGCGCGAGGACGAGGACTGGGGGCTAGTGTTGGTATTCGAGCCGGGGGGTTTGTCTTGGTCTGGATAGGAAGATGAGAGGAGAAGGGCAGGGAAGAGGGGACGCGTACCGCGGCTGGCGCGCGCGCCGCGCTGCTTGTTCCAGCGGACGACGATGCGCGCGCCGGCGTCGGCGCTCGCGCCCGGGTCGGTCGTGTCCGTCTCCGTGTCGAGCTTGCCGGCGAAGAGCTCGCGCACGAGCTGGTGCAGCGCCGTGCGCGTCTGCTTCGAGGGGATCGGCTAGGGACGGGATCATCAGGTTTGCATGGCGAAAGTGTCAAGGGGCCACGAACGTCTGATAGCACTTTGCGCGTGTCGGGGCGCTCGCCGGGGCGCAGGCGCCCGCCGCCCCTGCCCCCGCGCCCGCCCCTCCCGCGTCCGCGTCCCCGTCCGCGGCCTTTCCTGCCGCCCCGCCCGGGCTCCCTCTCTTCCACGACTTCCTTTTCCTTTTCTTCGTCCTCCTGTACGTCCTCGCCGTCCGCGTCGGTCTTGGGCTTGCGCCCGCCCCAGCCGCTGTCGCTGACAAAGGGCGGCTCGGGGCCCTCGAGGTACATTTTCTTGAGGGCGTCGAGCTTGTCGGGGGCGAAATAGGGTTGGAGGCGGTCGGTGAAGGAGTCGGGCCAGATGGGCTCTGCGGGTGCGGGTGCGGGTGCGGGTGGTGGCTGCGGGTCGGCGGTAGGTTCGGGCGCAGGAGTAGACGGCGCGGGTGCAGTTGATTCCACGCCGTCCATGGGGACGTCTGTAGAGGGAGCGTCCTTGATTTTCTTTTGACCGTACACTGCAGACGCGTCTGGGGGGCCTATGTCCTTTAGGTGAATTTCGTTACCGTCGAGGTCGACCTCGAAGACGAGAAAGTCGGTGAACCTGTAAAATAATGAGCAAACGTTAGATGTTGTAGTGAGGAGGACGGGCCGTTGTTTGATGATGCCGTCGATTTTTGGGACGTCGCGAGCAATGTACTCGGATATGCCGACGTCGTTCTCCATGATCCTGAGGACGCCGTCAGGGTATTCTTTTTTGGGGAGGCCGAGGAGGGCATGGCTGGGCGGGAGGAGATTTTCGTCGAATGGATTCTGCTCCTGCTCTGCCGCGGGATTCGGCTGAGGTGCATCCAGCTCGGACGAGTCTACTCTTGTGCGCTTTGGAAGGGGGCCCTGGTCGTCGAGCTCGCGCTGGTGGACCTGGCCGGACATGGCAAGGAGCAGAAGAGATTAGATTAGATCGGGCGCGGGCGGTCACGGTAACGTCCACACATGCGTGGGCGACCGACCACGACACCACAACATGCAAGTCGGCACTGTCGTCTTTCTGTCGCTGGTGCTGGATTTATTCGGTGAGCAGACCGCGGCTGAGCCAGCCACGCGCTGACGGGCAGCAGCATTCACCATTCCTTTGCCGCTCTTTCCGCGTCTCATCGAGTGGTACACAAAAGTGAGCACACGCCAGCGCACCGAGCCTGTCTGACCAGCCGCAGCGAGAATCGTCCGACCCGGATGGCTTCCTCTCGCGCACGCTCGCCTTTGTCTCCGCCGTCCGCGGCCTCTTCTACGCCTCCGCGCGCAACTCGCAGAAATGGGACGTCGTCCTGCTCGGCGGCCTCATGGGCTCCGTCTTCTCGTCAGTCCTTCCCTTGACTAAAGACTCCCCTGACACCCTCCAAGTACCCTGCAGTTCATCGTCTCGCCGTACATCGGCTCGCTCTCGGACACCCATGGCAGGAAACGCATCCTCCTCCTCACCATGATCGGAAATATCCTCTCTGCGCTCGTGTGAGTTCCGATTCATCCGACTGCTACAAAGCCAACAACTCTACGCGCAGCTGGCTCCAGTCCACCTCCTTTGCCTCCTACATGCTCTCCCGCGTCATCGGCGGCCTCAGCGAGGGCAACGTCCAACTAGCCATGTACGTCCCCCCGTTCCCCCCTCCCGCTGTGACCCTCACCCCACCCTCCCAGCGCCATCCTCTCCGACGTCTCCACCCCCGCCACCCGCTCGCGCTCCCTCGCCTCCATCGGCATCGCCTTCGCCCTCTGCTTCTGCCTCGGGCCCCCCATCGGCGCCTACTTTGCCTCCCAACCCCTGCCCTCCTCGCTCGCCGCCGGCGTCGAGCTCAACGTCTACGCCCTCCCCGCGCTCCTCTCCCTCGCCCTCCTCCTCGCCGAGACCGCCTTCCTCGCGCTCTGCCTCCCCGAGACCAAGGGCACCAGGATCGCCGAGGACGAGCAGGCGAGCCACGACGGGAAAGGCGCGGAGAAGGCGGCGCACGCAAACCCGCCCCGCCCCGCCCCTGCCCCCGCACGCGCGCCGCGCCCTCCTCGCGCGCCTCCGCCGCACGCACTTTGCCTTCCTCGCCATCTTCTCCGGCGTCGAGTTCACGCTCACATTCCTCACCTTTGACCGTACGTCCACCCTCCCCCCCCCTCCCCACCTCCACTAACCCACCGCAGTCCTCGACTGGGACAACCGCCGCAACGGCACCCTCCTCGCCACCATCGGCATCCTCTCCGCGCTCCTCCAGGGCGGCTACGTCCGGCGCGCCCTCGCGCGCACGGGCGAAGCCACGATGGCGCGCCGCGGCGTCCTCGCCTGCGCGCTCTCCTTCGCGCTCCTCGCCGCCCTCCCGCGCACGCGTTCGGTAAAGGTGCTCTACGCCGCCGCCGCGCTCCTCGCGTTCACCTCCGCGACGGTCGTGAACGCGCTCACCGCGCACGCGGCGCTGCTCACCGACGAGCCCGGCGGCGACGAGGACCTCGTCAAAGGCCGCGCGCTCGGGCGCTTCCGGTCGCGCGGGCAGCTCGGCCGCGCGCTGGGGCCTCTCCTCGGTGAGCATCCTCCCCTACTTCCCGAGTCAGCGCTGATGGATGCGTATCAGCCTGCGCTGGCTACTGGACCTTTGGGCCCTCGGCGACGTACGCCGCCTGCGCGGGCGCGATGTTCCTCCTCGGCGCGCGCATGCGCTCGCTCGCCTCGTCCCAGAAGGCCAAACAAGCGTAAGTTAGGGCGGCTCCGGAGTAGAGCGAGCGAAAAACTACCCATTGTCACGCCTGTACTTTGGATACACTTCATAGTTTATGCGCCCGGAATCACATACTCCAAGCTTGAAGCCCACGCGTAGAACAGTCCCGCAAATGTATTATCAACTACTAACAATCAAGTCCGCGATGTATCAGAAAGTGCAAAGGCATAGAAAGTACGGAAATAACCGCGAACCGACACTAGGTGGGGGTGGCTAACACCCGTGCGCGCGTATGTATGTATGACGGACGGGGTGTAGGGTAGGGTACAATGGCACGTAGTAAATGCAATGCTGTGTTATACAATGCGAGTGTATGCTGAGCACTGCAGAGCGGGCAAAAGGGGGGGGTGAGTAGGCCGTGTCGTCGCCGCAGGGGTATAATCAGTTCCACATCGTTTATTTAGCTTCTTCATCTTCAGATCCGCGCATCCCCTATCCTTAGATCCCACGGACACCCGAGCCAGCCACCCAGCCGTCACGTCCGCCGGTACGTCCCGTCTTCGAGCCGGTCGTACGGCGGCGGCGCCGACGAGCTCCCCGCCATCGACGGCGGGCTCGGCACGCGACTCGGCACGCGCGAGCTCAGCGCCGACGCCGTCAGCCCCGCGCTCTCAAAGTCCTCCTCGTACCGCCGCTTCTCCGGCCCCGGCGTAGGTGCAGCCGGCGCGTCGCGGTACTGCGGCGGCAGCGGGCTGCGCTGGTGCTCGTTCAGCTCCATATCCTGCGACGCGAAGATCGCGGGCAGGAGCGCGATCACGCCGCGCCGCCGGGGTCTCCGCGGCGAACGGTGCGACGACGACAAGGACGACGAGGGCACGATCGCGGCGATGATCCGGCTACCGGTGCGCACGACCGCGTCGACTACGGGCTGGATGGACGTTGGGCTGGAAGGCGGCTCGTTCAGTAAAGACACCTCGGACGGCGAAGGGGACGCGGGCCGCACGGAGATGGGGAGGGGTAGGAGCACTTCCCCTTCTTCCAGCGACGACGTCGGGCTCGGTGGGAGGGAGATCGGCGACGACGGCGCGGTCGAGTGCGTCGGCACGGACAGGAAGCCGAGGTCGATGTACCACCGCCCGCTCCGCTCCTGCCAGCGCGGGTAGAAGATCTCGTAGCGGCCGATGCGGCGCAAGCTGTACTTGCGCTTCGAATCACCGAGGATGGCCAATCTCATCAGGCCGATGATAAGCAGGACTGATCCTATCCACATCAGCGTCTTGCCCCATTTGCCGAGGAAGCCGATGAACCCAGCATCGCCAGCGTGCCAGCTGCTGCCGTAGTAGTGCGCAAAGAAGGCGTGCGGCGCTTCCTCTGGTTTCGCGTTCTTGCCGTAGAGAGACTTGGGCAAGATGCGAACCTCGCCTCCTGGCTGGTCGGGAGTGGGTGCGTGGGTGGCGGCGTACAGCGCATACTGGCCGGATAGAAACATGGGACCCGTGGAGAACATAACTGTCGGATAGTTGATTACCCAGTCGTGATTCCAGGAAATGAGGTTGTCGATGGTCTGGCGCATGAATGGGTGTTCCTTTTCGGCGAACATGAGATCATTGGAGACGCCGACGGGAATGGTCTTTGGAAGGATGACGGGATAGACCAAGAGCGGGTCGAGCCGTTGTAGACAGCCGACATCCAGGTCGAGATAGACGCCCCCATAGTGGTACAGCACAAAGTATCGGATGGCGTCAGCGCGCTGGATGGGGTACTCGTAGTTGTCGAACGTGTCTAAGAACCAGGGGTAATATTCAGCAATGAATTCCCTGGAGCTCGCGTCCGTCCAGAGGATATACTCGCTGCAATGAAAGTTACGAGCGCCGCAGGGAACGAGCCGAGGTGACGGCTTACTAGTCGGGCATCATGTCCCTGCACTCCTGCGAGATATCCTTCCATTTGTCCGGCAACGTCTGTGATCTCCATGTCTGATGCAGAATGCGCGGTATGCGCTCCGTCTTGCCATGCGCCGTCGCGTTCCACCGAGAGCCGTTGTACGGGACGCCGACCTCGTCTTCGGTAAGATAGGCGGCGGTGTCGATGGAAAGGTAGAAGGAGATGGAGGAGAGCACGACGACCGTGCCGAGGAGGACCAGCCCCAGGAGCGACAAGGATATCCAGAGCGTCTTCCTGCGTATCATGACGGGCAGGCGGGAAGGAGCGACAGGGATAGGAAGGGCCTGAAAACTATAAAGAAAGACGGTTTAGTGAAAAATAGGATTTGGGGCCACCGAAACTCACCCCTGAGGCTATTGCTCCCGACATTCCCACGGCTGCTATAATTACTTGGCCTCACCGACACTGCCCGCCTGCGCCACTGCACGTCCTCGCTCCGCAGCGGGGGTCTCTCCATGAAAAGGCGGTCCTGGCCAGTTCGTACTTACCCGCAGCAGAGGGCGGCCAGCCGTCGCCGACGGTCAGCCTCTGGATTTGTTGGCTTGCGGCTGCTTACGGCCTGTGCTTCCATCGGGATCAGAACTGCCAGTGATCGACGCCGCGAAGCGACGCCTTGGCACCCAACGGGCCAACGAAGAGTTCACAATTCCGACAGCCACAACTCGAATAATACCAATGGTGAAAGTACTCTACATTATGATGTTACTACACTCTGCTTGACGTGCGAGCGAAGCTACACTACAAATGACGCAACCACAGTATATAGACTCTCAACAGCTGCCTGTAGGACGTGCAGGGGCATGCATGAGCACATACTCCAGATGCGGCCCCAACGCCTTCAACCACTCCTGGATCGACCCCTCCTCCCACGCGCAGCTGACATCCCACAGCCCACTCAATGCAGCATGCCAATCTCGAGCAGCCCACTGGTGCCCGGGCCGGGCCCCAGTGCCTTTCCCAACATAGGGCATCGAGAGAAAGTCCTCCACACGCGGCGTCGTTTTTGGCAGCGGCCTCTTCGACTGCAGATATTCCAAGCAATCTCGCGCACTCCAGAGGTCCAGGATCTTGCGCGTGTATTCCGGCGCGTACCGTGACTGGACAGTTCCTGAGAGTTCTTTGGTCGTACGTGCGACATCTCGACCCCCGACCCGCCGGACCAGCTCTCGCAGGAGTACGGTAAATGTCCGGATTATCTGCAGGTGCAGCGAGTCCCAGGCGTGACCGGGTTCGAGCTCGTACGGCGTTATCGTACGGCCCACGCCGTCATCGTCGATTTCCATAGCATCGTCATCTGAGGGCGCCTCCGTTGCTTGACCTCGGGCCAAAATTGACCCTTTGATCGAAGTAGACGGCTGGAAAGAGTCGCTGCTGTCGCTGAAGCGGTATAGGTCAATGTATCCGGAATCATCGCCGAATAGCACACGGGCAAACTGTCGACTGGACCACCTTGGCTCGGGCTTCAGTGCCGGAATCCCTACATTGTTCTCCTGTTATCGATTGCATATGTACATCGAACCGCAGTTGACAGGACGTACCCTGAGGCTGTGCTTTCAGGATGAGATTGTGGTCCGCGGTGCAAAGTACGACCGGCAATCTCTGCTTCGTGTGGAAATACAAGCAGCAATCGAGTATCAGGTCGTCATTCAGTCCGTCGGAGTCGAAATACTGCGGAACAAAAGTGCGATGAGTCCGGTAACCAAGACACAGAAGACGCAATGAGGCTTACGGATTGGAGGTCTCTTTTCTTCCAACTACCGGAGGGCATGCACGTTTCGGAATGAGACTGTCCCCTAACGGACTTTCGCTGGCGAAATTTCTCAAGGATCCAGGTGGAAGCGCTGCGGGCAAACCAAGACAACTTTCCGCGATTCTTCTGGCTTGTAGCTTAGCATCAGCAATGCAGGTCAGCTCTTGGCAAAGAAAATATATATCACCCATCGAGCTCGTAGACAACTATCCCGGGTATTATTACCGCCACTCGTAGACTGGTTTGCTCGATGTCAGCGACGAACCGCTGTATAAGCTCCAGGTGATGAAGAAGTATATTGGTATCGAGAACCAGACATATAGTTTGGCTCGTCAGAGGAACCTATTCACAAGAGACGTACACAGTTGATGGTACTAGTGGATGATCGGGAGGGTGTGCAGACGTACTCGCATTTCAACATCCTCGTTTGCAACGCGTTCAATGCTTTCAAGGGTGGTGCGAAAGTATGCATCTTCATACGGCTTATCTGGACTAGCTGCCACAAAAGTTTAGTTGGACCTGTACCGTGGCAGATGTTAGCTCTACTCACCGGGTTGATGAGGATCCGGATCACTTGTGGCACGGGACGCACTGCTCTGAAAGGGGTGGTTAGTAGCGAACATCACTGATGCACTCACCAGACCTTCGAAGGGCGATTCGTGAGTTCGCAAAAAGATAAACAAGGCGTGACGAGAGCCCTACGACAGTGGCAGTGGCAACGACCGCTGGGGTGTGGTCGAGAGGCACGTCTGCCGATGACATACCCAATATGGTAATCAAAGTATGCTCGACTTATTTATAGTTTCCTCAAGATAAGATCTTTGCTGCCGTCCCCTCAGATCGCCTCCTCGACTCTTCTAATTCTTCATTTTCAAGGATGTCCTTTTACACAAAGACGTATGCGCAGCGCGCAGAAGCTCACCCCAGTCCAGCTGCCAAGCAGCTCCTGGAGACCATCGAGCGCAAAAAGTCCAATTTATGTGTTAGCGTCGACGTAACCCGCAAGGCCGACTTCTTGGCCGTGATAGACTTCGTCGGACCCTTTGTATGTCTTGTCAAGGTATGCAGACTAAGTACTCCGTCATCTGGAACTGATAACTGACCGCGGAAAAGTAAGACACACATTGATATCATTGAAGACTTCGACCACGACCTCGTCGAGCAGCTGCAAGTCCTCAGCAAAAAGCATGACTTTCTCATCTTCGAAGACAGGAAGTTTGCAGACATAGGCACGCCGCTTTTCTATGCAGTCCTTCGCCCCCTGCATGCTAACACCAAGCTGATTACAGGCAATACCGTCTCCCTGCAATATTCCTCTGGCGTGCACAAAATTGCCTCATGGTCGCATATCACCAACGCCCACCCCGTTCCAGGGCCATCCGTCATTACGGGCCTGGCATCTGTAGGAAAACCCCTCGGGCGGGGGCTTCTCCTTCTCGCGGAGATGTCCACCAAGGGCAGCCTGGCAGTTGGCTCCTACACCGAAGAAGCCGTCAAAATGGCTCGGGCAAACAAGGACTTTGTCATAGGCTTCATCGCACAGCGCCGGATGGATGGCGTTGGGCTGGCAGATGGGGAAGAAGACGCAGACTTCCTCATCCTCACGCCTGGAGTGGGCCTCGATACGAAGGGCGACGGGATGGGACAGCAATACCGCACGCCCAGGCAGGTTATTGTGGAGAGTGGTTGTGATGTGATTATCGTTGGTAGGGGGATATACGGGAATCCGAAGGCCTTGGACAGGGATAGTGTGAGGAGTCAGGCGGAGAGGTATATGAAGGAGGGTTGGAATGCATATCTGGAGAGGATAGGAAAGAATAACCAAACCTCGTAATCCCGGCCCGCTGCGTAAATGTAGTCGGCAGCGACGTTGGAAGAAGGCATACCATGTACATTTCTGATACAAATTTACAACTTCTAAGGTTGCTGATCTGCGGACGCTTCGGTTTACATCGATGCCCGATTCCTTCAGGAGTCATTTCCGGCAGCTTCGGCTTCCGCTCTACGTTTCTCCTCTTCAGCCTCCTTAGCCTCCCGCTCTTCCGCCTCCACAACTTCGACATCCAACGGGAAAGTTAGTATGGCAGCGATACCGCTCAATTGGTTCAGTTCTATGGCCTCAGCCAGTCAGTAACGGGTAGCTAAGATACCGAACGTATGGGGAGCACTTACGCTGCCCAGATTCGTGCATACTGGAGAAAATCACAACCTCACCTCCCTTGTCCCTAACAGCTTCCACGAGCCCGACATACTTCTTCCGCTCGGCGGGATCACTCGCTCTAAATGGGCGTGAAATGAGCATCGGCAGAGGTGCGGTGACACGTCATTCGACCCACCTGAATAACTGGTCGGATATAAGCAGAGTACCGACCGCTCCTCTGTCTATCGCGAGCGCTACATGGTCAGGACCATACCATGCACGCATCTCGTCCGATCCAAGCATCTTGAAGAATTTATCCAACGTTATGCCCTCCTTGGCGAACTTGGTCTCCTTCAATTGAGCAGTAATCTGCATACATGCAACGCAGAGCTCAGCTCAGCTCCTGGAAACATGTAACTTAGGCGTACCTCCGGACTCTTTAAGACCTCCACCAAACTATGGACGTGCGGGCTGCTAACATGAATCCTGACCCCCTTCTCCCGCACGGCTCTCAAAAGTGCCTTGTTACCAGTTCTTTCTGATTCTTTAATGATATAGTCGTAGACCGAGTCTCGAATCCAACCGGGGCTCGCGATGACGATCACTTTGATCGTCGGAGATGCGTAAGGGATGTGACGGAGGAACGCAGCGTAGAGCTGGGAGTAGAATTTGGCCATGCCCTTCTCGTGCATTGACGATGAAGATGACTTGCGGGGGATGGATGTGGTCAGACGATGACGTATAGTGGTGAGATGTTCGGAAAGGAGGACGAAGGCTGCAGTACCTGAATAGCCCATTAACCCGCACCTCTATAGCATTGCGTAAGATGCATACCTTCACCACAGACAACAGCTGCAACCTCTGCCCCTCGTCCTGGCACGCAAGCCTCCTCAACGCGATTCAGCGCGATACTGTCCCACTCGTCCTTGATGATCCTGATGTCCCTGTTTACCTCGATATCCAGCGTATGGAACGCCCCCATCTTAACATGCTGGTTCTCCGCCGTCACCCGGCCGGAGATCTGGATAGACGCGGTGACGTCCGCGGATGTGGTTGAGTTCGGGTTGGTCGTGTCGGCGGTCGAGGAGGTGATGGCTGGCGTGAACTCCACACGCACGACTTCCAAAGTGAGGTTGAGCCGGACGCGGTGCGAATCCGTGGATCCCGTTGCTGAGACATTCTGCACTCGGCTGCGGACATATTCACGTTAATTCGGTGCTTGCGCAGAGTGAGCAGGCCACGCACCGGATTGCAGGTGCGCGGACTTGGTCGCCCTGTTAAATAATCATTTCATTGCTGCTCAAGCATGTTATTCATTTCTGGGCAAGACTGGGCGCAGGTGGATAGCGGCGACTAAAGTTGATGCACCTACCTCTTGGATCAGATTGTACAAATGCCACATATCCTCATCGTCTTCCGGACGAAGGCTGACATATCCCTGGGTATTGCGATCAGCGTATTGAACAAGGTAGGGGGAGAGTCCTGACGTACAGAGCCTTCCTTGTCGATATGTTTTCCAATCAGCTTCATCTTGGAATTGCAGAGATCTGAAGAGATCTGTGATGACGACAGTCATATCGCAGAACACTGACGGTTGCCATTTATGGTTGTCGCGTGGCTGCTGACCCGACAACGCTGATAGGTTGGGTGTCTAGCCTGGCGTTGAGTCTATTTTGCTAACCTCGGAATCACCATACTGTCACACCCTATCGTGTAATCATTCTCGTAAGATGAATTGTTATGACAAAAATCACTTGTATATAGTTCCGTCTTTTACTCTTGATACTCTATCGAGAGCATTCCACCAAAGTACAGTATGTCCATTTGTATTCGTTCACTGGCACTTGAAATGCAGCGATCGGCTTGTCTCAATATTATTGACCGACCTCGCATTTTATGTTCGCCAGGGCTACCCACAGCATCGAGAAGTTCGCTCGTCTAGCACCACTAATAAATTTGCTCGGGTTTATACAGGTCACCCGTCATGGCTTTACTACCGCATGCGTAATGATTGTTGATCAATTCTCACCTCATACATACATCGTAACATTGGTCAAGTAGTTACCATCTTCTCTAGTATATACCAGCTACCAGGCCGTCGTCTGCGAGAGATCATCTGTCCATCCGTCAATCCCATGGCTCCACTACAAATCCGAGCAGCAAGCTGTCAAGAATCCTGTCCAACCAACTACAGTGCGCAGCGTCTAGGGTTTTCTCCGAATGATTGGTCTTCACGGAGATGACGAAGTATATCACACGCCACTGGTATGTGCGATGGTGATATGGGCTTGGTAAGCTGGGAAGCGCCGGTGGTGATGGGAGCACTTGCAGTATGTTAGCGTAGCGGATATCAATTATGCCATGGTGAGCAATATCATTGTAGAAATCGTATAGATCCTGCCTAGTAACGGAAGAGGTCAATCAGGGAGAAGCTGTGAAGGAAGTCATATGAAACATACACGACTTCTTCCGGTATTGGCTCCAGTCTGGGTAGACGCCCACCTAAGCTCTCAAGAAGAAGAGCAACAATACGGATATTGTCTCCCAGCGGCAGAGGGTCCCTTCATCGTCACAAATCTCATACGATACTGCAAGGGTACCCGTCTTCGTGCTCATAGTACCCTAAAAAAGCCCGTAGCACCGGGGAATAGCAGACCCCTGAAGGCAGTCCATTTCCTCGTAAAACCATCCTCCCTCGTAAGGCTGTCGCAGCGTCGTTCGAACGCCAGCTTAACCACCAGAGGGGGTAGGTAGGATGTATCCAGTCCGAAGCCAAGCAAAGGATCCCCATGACGTGGCATACATTGCTCCAACTCGACCACTTCCGAGCGACGCCTTTGGATCTCGCAGATAAAGGGCGAGTTCTAAGTTGCCAGGAGGAGGCGAGGATGAAGGAGGACAAGGAGGCGCATCGCGAGTCACTTTCGGTTCGAAAATGAACCGGATGGGGGTTGGCTTAGATTGACGACGCCGGAGAAGAATGGGCAGGTCGGCGCAGCTCCCAAAATGAGTCGCGAGATTGCATACTCTAAGACTTTCAATGGCGTTAGTGGCTTTGGGGGATCGTAGGATTCAAATTAGTGTTATGTATATATTTCCAATATGCAGAGCCGAACCTACCACTGATTCCAGCCACACGATATACAGTCGCTGAACGTTGACACTAAGTAGTGGTGGGAGGATATTCGCCAATACTGCCGAAGTGACCACAGCAACTGAGAAGGTCGGATCGACATTGTCAGTGTCACAGCGGCAGTCGATCGGACGTGCTCGATTCAGATAAGACCCGGGCCGTAGATGCCGACTGAGGCGCGTATGCAAGCTTGGTCCCGCCACATCAAAGATCTTCCCGCAGAACAAGACTATACTTGGACATATCGCTGTCACCAGTCACTACGACGTGCAGGGCCCTTCATTTGCCGTGAAATCGTCTGCAAGCCTCCCCTACTTTAGATCACGCGTGGATCCTTGGAGTTGCGTATCCTGTCACCCATGTCTCAGGACCAAGGGCATAGGTTAGTCCCTGAAGTACGAAAATAAACGTCTTCAACTGACGCTGCGGTCTAGTTACAGTGCGAAGGTTGACACGCTGGTCTCCCATCTCACAAATCCCTCAAACAGGGCGGATGCTGATCCGGAAGACGACGAACAGCTCTTCGCCGAGTTAGAAGCAGAGCTGGAAAATGAGGACTACGCCGCTAGGGAACACGGGATCCAAGCCCTTCAGCGAGAGTGAGGTGACATCCCTACTCCTGGGTCTGTGGACGCCTGCTCATGATGATGTCTTATCTGCTTTGCAGGATGGAACGAGTGCGGGATATGAAGGGCAGTGGGCATGGAACATACATGGAGATCAAGGATGAAAAGGAAGTCATGCGGATAAGTGCGTGAGTTATAACTCTCCATATGGTCCGTAACCCCTTCGTTGATCTGCTTGTAGGAACGAACCTCGCTGCATAATCCACTTTTTCCACACCGACTTCCGACGGTGCGAGATCATGGACAAGCACTTGGCTGTACGTCATTGAGATTGCTGGTATCCCACCCATACTCACTCTTGTAACAGAAGCTCGCACCGAAGTACTTCTCGACGCGCTTCATCCGTGTTTTCGTCGAAAATGTGCCTTGGTTGGTTGAGAGACTGTCTGTGAAGGTGTTGCCCTGCGTTATATCCTTTAAGAATGGGGTCTCCAAAGACAGGTACCACCCTTCGTATCCCATTATCGCATCAAAATGAGACGATAACACGGATATCTAGAGTAATTGGGTTCGAAGAGCTAGGGAATAGTGACGTGTTTGATACAGCTGTTCTCGAGTTCCGCTTCCTGCAGAGCGGTACGTACCCAGTGGCCTATTATGTGGGGAGTTATTGATCACCGTGCAGCAGGAGTTATCCAAAAGGAATCATCGAGTACCTCTCAGCCCACGTATAATGTTTCACAACCTGCTCGGCAACACATTCGTAGCCAAAATCATGACGACGATGAGTTCGACTTGGAGTGATTCTGATTCATATGCAGTAAAGCGGGTCACGTGGCTAATCCGATCGTGTCTGTCCGATCTCGAGCCGTGTTGCGGGGATTTCGTAGGTACGCCTGTCAGTTGTCAGCCATGTAATATATAAGTAAAGGCTCTTGTTCCTTTTGATTGCCACTTGTATGCTTCCGGCTGTTGCACGGCTTCGTCTCAGTTGCTTCATCGTAATGCCGAAACGCGCAAGGTCCCCTGGGCTCGGGTCTCTAGTGGCAGGCTTAGCGCACGTAGCAGGTATCGCTGAGATGGCCAAAGCTGCTGTCAATGTTCCTGAAGATGACGAAGAGTCTCCTCCCGCGAAAAAGACGAAGAACGCGGTTGCATTCCTTCCAAATAAGATCGCCACTGCTGAAACTGCTGCGAGAGCGGATGCCAGCCCCCCTCTTCAAGATCTCTTGCAAGCGGTAGAAAACGGCGTGAAGAGATCACCTACAGGCTCAGCGGTCGTATACTGGATGAGAATGGAGGATTTGCGGGGTGCGTTGAATTGCCTTGATGGTAAACTTGTGCCGACTCACCTGTCTGCAGTCTCCGATAATCGGGCTCTTTCCCGTGCCTCCGCGCAGGCTCAGAAGGAAGGAGTGCCGCTGATTGTGGTATTCATAATCAGTCCACAGGATTATGTTGCTCACGACAGAAGTCCGAGGAGGATAGACTTTACTCTCAGGAACCTAGTCGACATTAAGGTAATTCCAATTGCCTATGGGGCCACTCTCTTGTATACTCAGTTTAGTGTATGATCCCGCAGACTCGCCTAGCTTCCCTGCATATACCGCTATATGTCACCGAGCACAAACCTCGACGGGACATTCCACGGCTTCTGATTGACCTTTTACAGCAGTGGAATGCTCGCTCTCTCCATGCAAATATTGAATACGAAGTCGACGAGCTAAGAAGGGATATCGCGGTCTGCAGATTAGCGAAGGGCGCTCAAATCCGAACGGACTTCGTGCATGACCGTTGCTTAGTAGATCCCGGAGCAGTCTTTACTAAGGATGGGCGAGTGTACACGGTAAGCTCTCCCCTGTAACTTCTGGACCCAACGCAGGCGCCCTCACAGCTTCACTTGGAATGCACAGGTTTATTCACCGTTCCAGCGCAATTGGCTCAATGTGTTGAATTCGAATCTGAAATGGATCGTGGAAGCTCCCTTGCCTCAGCCCAATGGCGAAGCAATATATTCCCACAATACTCTAAAGGAGCTGTTTCAAGCTGACGTCCCGAGTGAGGTTGAAGGTTTCAAATGTCGTGACAAGGAAACGATGACGAAAGTATGGCCGTCTGGTGAGGAAGCTGCCAACCAGGTAAGTCCTGTGTAGTTCTCACTACTGTTCGATGTTGCTCAGTGATTGCATCATAGATGCTTCAGATGTTTCTCTGTACGAAGGCTCGAACGTCCCAGATGGGCCTTGCCAATCCATTATCGGAGGGCGCTGAGCCATCTGACAAGAAGAGTCGCGCAGTTGCCTATAAAGACTCGAGAGACAAGGCGGACAAAGATACCACATCAAGACTTAGGTACCATATTACTTCAATCTACTCTACTCCACCTGGCAGCCAGATTCAACATTCTCTTGTAGTCCGTATCTTGCCGCGGGAGTCATCTCAGCACGAGAGTGCGTAAGACAGGCGATGAAATTACAAGGTGCGAAGAAGGTGCAGGCTACAAGAGATACTGGACTCGGGACATGGCTCATGGAGATCGGTAGGTTCTCTCGGGAACCCCCTATTGCAGTCATAACAGGCTAATGTCGCGCAGCGTGGAGAGACTTCTATAATCATGTACTAGCAGCGTACCCGAGGGTTTCCATGGGTAGGCCCTTCCAAGAAAAGTACGCAGATGTTAAGTGGGAGGTGAACGAAGAACATCTGCAGGCTTGGAAGGAAGGTCGCACTGGAGTTCCGATTGTCGACGCGGGCATGAGACAAGCCAACAAGATGGGTAATGTCTGATTCCCCCCGTGCTATCTGGACCGCCACTGACTTTCTGATGGCATTGGATCAAGGCTGGATGCATAATAGGATGCGTATGATTACGGCTATGTATCTCGTCAAGGACCTCATGATCGACTGGAGACTGGGTGAAAAGGCAGGTTGCGCATAACGTAATTGCAATTCGGGCGTCTTCTGATTATAAGGGGCCTTGTAGTACTTCATGGAGATCCTGATAGACGGAGATCTAGCTTCGAACAATGGGGGTTGGCAGTGGAGCGCGAGCACCGGTACTGATCCACAGCCTTATTTCCGGATTTTCAATCCATATTCTCAAAGTGAAAAGGTGTCCTCTTTTAGTGCCGCTCTCCAACCCTATACCAATTTTGACAAATCGTGCAGGCTGATCCTACAGGGGAATATATTCGGTACTTCGTTCCAGAATTGCGAAATGTACGGGGATCGGGTATGGCATCCCCTTGACCATTTATAGCCCGAAATTGACCGAGATCAGATATCCACAATCCCCCTCCAAAAGTCGCGTCCAAGTTGGGATACCCGCTCCCTCTGGTCAAACATGCAGATGCCAGGGAGAGGGCACTGAGACGGTACAAATACCCCGGAGAAGAATAACCTGCTGTCGTGTCATGAGCTAGGAAGCGATAGTCGAGAGCGGTATGGTAGACCTACACATGTCGTTTCGATTTCAAGAGCATGTACCATGCAACGAGCATACTACTTTTCAGGTTGATGGCTCTCCCAATCCGAGAAATGAAGTCCCATATTTCCGTTAGGAGCGCTCGGAATGTCCCTGAAGCCCAATCGACTGTAGAACCGTCTTGCATTCTCATTCCTCGTGTCTAGTCCCAGCCATACTGCGTTGAGGCCTTGCTCCTTTAGGTATTGTATGGCTCTGTCCATGAGCTTCCTGCCCCATCCTTGACGTTGAAAGTCGGCGAGAATGTCGATATGGAGGTGTGCGGGGGAGAATTCGATGCAAGCGTCGGGGGCAGTGTGCATCTTTTGCAGAAGTCTGATATAGCGTTGATCCTCAGCTTTTCCTTCTAGGTAGGCCGGACTCTGAACAGGATATTTCTCTCGAAGTGGCGGCCACCATCGGTCCTCCGCAACCTGCTCGAATGTCCGCGTGTCCGTTGATCCGAGAATATAACCGACCACCTCTTCCGCCTCCTTATTCTCCAAGACGAATCCAAATGTCGTCGGAAGATTGACATAGGGCAAAGCATAAACCAGACCGGGCAATTCTCCGTACTTGTGCAAGCCTTCCGCTGATTCCCCTGCGTTCCCAGTACAGAGACATATCTTTGACAAAGATGGCGCGTCAGACAGCCTAGCTTCTCGGATTACGATCGTCATCCTTGGGATGGAAAGAGGATTCGCTTATGGTCCATATATGTGTATCTCAGAGGGTAGATGTTATCAAAGCCACCGCAGGAATATTCATTGCCTCCGGCGCACCCGGCCCGGCGCGAAGCCCCGGGAAGAGGCTGGAAAAGGCAGGCGTAGTATTCCAACTTTTACCAATCCACACCAACAAGATGAAGTACGTCGCCTTGCTGAGTGGTGGCAAGGACAGTTGCTTCAATTTGTTGCACTGCCAGAAGAACGGTCATGAGCTGGTTGCTGCAGCATCCCTAGGTCCTGAACGTGGCAAAGGTCCGCTTGCTCTCCACGGCCTGCATGCTACTTGATCACGAACTACCTGGCGACACAGAGGAGATCGATTCATTTTTCTATCAGACAGTTGGGCAAGACGCAATAGAATATGTGGCGAATGCTTTGGATGTGCCTCTGTATCGCAGAACCATAGAGGGCACTGCTCTCGCGGTTGGCGCCGAATACGGCAGCAGAGACGCGAAGGATCCGCCCGATGTACCAGGGGACGAGACTGAAGACCTCTATGCGTTGCTTTCCGACGTAAAGGTAGGCTAAATGACGCAACACAAGATCGCAGCCTGATCTACTTGAAGACCCGGCATCCAGATATACTGGGCGTTTCCGCAGGGGCAATACTCTCGGATTACCAAAGGGTCCGACTAGAACATGTGTGAGTCATCGGATGTCGATCCGAGGCGAAGCTGAACGGATTGTTCAAGATGCCGACGACTATCTCTAACTGCGCTGTGCTACCTATGGCAGCGAGATCAAGGGCAACTACTCGCAGAAATGATCGATGCAGGGTTGCACGCTGTTATCATCAAAGTAGCAGGCATTGGATTGACGGAAGAACACCTGGGCAAATCCCTCGCGCAGATGCAATCCAAGCTCCTCTTCTTGGCTAGTGACTGCCTTTCCACTACACGCACTAACTGATACCCCTGATCAGAATCAGGAGTTTGGATCGCATATTTGCGGAGAAGGCGGCGAATACGAAACATTGACGCTAGACTGTTCAATGTTCAAGAAACGCATCATTCTGTGAGGTTATCCTTCATGTGTGTCAGTGTGTTACACTGACTCTAGGCACAGGTCCGACACAGAGACTATCATACACTCTGACAACAGCTTTGCGTCAGTCGCGTACTTGCGGGTAAAACATGCTGAGTTGGTGCAGAAGGATGGCGCCTCCGAAAATACCGTGCCGACTCCGCCATTGCTAGAGGGGACTTTTCTGGAACTGAAAGACACCATATCTCAGCTTCAGACGGCAGAAATTCGATCTCCTCAGGACGATATACAGTTTGCTTATGAGATTCGACCATACCTTCATGGAAGCGCAGGAAGTCGAATGCTAAACGACTGGGCTTCCGTCACGAACATACATAGGAATCTGGACGATCACGAGATCACTTTGGAGGAGGAGGTTCGGGAATGCTTCAGCAAACTGGAAGGTGTGCTATACATTGCAACTCAACTTCGAGGATCTCATATCGATTCAGCCAGACTATCTTTGATGTCGCTAGAAGTGCGCAACTGCACGAACATCAGCATATTCCTATCGTCCATGGACCTGTTTGCACGCGTCAACGCTGTCTATTCCACATATTTCGCTACAAGCCCTCCCGCTCGTGCTTGTGTGGCTGTGGATCTTCCTTCTCCTATCCGCATAATGCTCGATTGCGTCGCATACAGTCGAGAGGCCATCTCGGAGAGAAGCGCACTTCACGTGCAAAGTCTGAGCTATTGGGCTCCCGCGAATATAGGGCCGTACTCACAAGCCATCACTGTACGCGGAGCATCTCTCTCTCATAATCAAATTGCTTGACTGAAGATGCACTCCTAGGCGGGTCAACGAATTTTCATATCTGGACAAATCGGTCTTATCCCTAGTTCAATGGCACTTCCTTCACCCCGGTCGTTGTGCCTAGAGACCGCACTAGTATTCCAGCATGCAAAACGTATTATGGAAGTCCTCAAAGGGCACCACAGTGAAGCTAGAATAGGACATGCGCAATTGGCCTTGTACTGGGTGTCAAATACAGAAAGTCTACCAATGGTGAAACAAGCAGCATACGTATACTATGAGGTTTGTTTCGTCGCGCGAAGTTGACGTTTACTTGACTCTTGCTTTCCAGGATTCCCACATTCCGGCACTTTTCGTAGTCGTGAAAGCACTACCACGGGATGCACTGGTCGAAAAACAGATGCTTTGCCATACTGGCAGATTCCCGATCCGTGACGAGGACGGAGAAGAAGATATTCAGTATAGTGCGCCCGCTCTCAGTGACGGTGTGTTCAGCTCGCGGGTTCAATTTGAAAGATGCCGACATTCTATCTAGGTTGTATCATGTGTGACGCATACGCTGTCTATTGGGAGACGTCTAGCTTCGATATGACGGATGGAGGACCATCGTCCGCCATCATCTGTGTTCGGGGCAAAAGTAAGAAACGGACCTGGGACATATAGAGGCACTGATACCGATATTTTCCAGATCTCGACCAAGCGACTGTGGACAAGTTGAAGTCCCATACGGTCCTGGATCGTATTCTGCGGCGAAGCCTCTCCATCCGGTTGTTCTACACACCTCACTGCACATTTGAAGGTGCGGACTCTGATAGACGGTCAAAACCACTCGCTCATTTACTGGGTGAAGTTGCCCCGGTGATCAATGCTCTGTGTGGCTCTTTCGTACCCGTCACGCCTATTCCCTGCCGATCGATCTCCACGCGTGCAGACGACGAATGGGATTATGCTATTTGTATCATAAATGACTGGGACATGATAGATCAGCCCGGTAAATAAGCGGTACAGACTACAGTACAACTTGACGGCACGAGTTCCACGAGTGTAGTATTGATGTTTCCATAAGATCGAATAGGAGGCGATCAAGGAGTCTCTTCCTCCTTCAGAAGCCTCATCTCCCCCAGTCTCCGCCTCATCTCCTTCTCCGTGCGGGTTGGTGGGACCATTCTCGCGATTAGAGCACCGACCTGGGGTGACATTTCAGAGACAATGAACCTGCAGCCTGAGTTACAGCAGCGTACCAGTGTACACAATCCTCCAAACCGCAGAACCCACGCAACACCATTCTTACCATAATACACACTGTGATTGGCAGGATCGTCATCCAAGTCGGCGTCGACATAGCGGAATATAGCGCTCGACACCAGCGCGATCTAGACCATGTCGTACGTCAGCGTCACTTCAACGTATATTCTGCTATATGGACTGACTATGAATTGCGGGAATACAATTGCTAGGTTGTGAATCCCCAGGATGGTGCCGCCTGCAACTGGTGCCGCCTCGGCAATGACTTCAGGCGCAGCATCGAACTCATCCCACGAATGGCGGCGAATCAGCGGGGCGTGTTCGCCATTCGACGGTCTGCGATATGTCGCGGGTGTCGAGGCATAGCGCGAATGGGAAGGCCGCCGTTGCGTCTGAGGCGGGTTGGCCACTCTCTGCTCATCTTGCGCCTTTGTATCACCCCCTTCTTCGAGCTCTTTCAGAAACTACGCGAGGATGTCAGTACTTTGGAATCTCAGTGGACGAATATGAGCTATGATCGACCTCCATAATGATGGCAAATGGTGCCCAACATGCAACTGCCCAGCAAATGCCGACCAGACTGATCGCAACAATAGCCTACATCGATCACAGCTGGTATGTTAGACGACATGTGATTTTGATCTAGAATGGGAATAACTCACCTGGTTCACCGTGGAGATGAAGAACGTAGACATGGTTAGCACTGTGAAAAGGAGCAGCGCACCGGTCCATATATTCCGGAGCAAGAAAGGCATGATAGGGAGCCGCAAAGGTTTTCCCTTCTGCGCCGCTTCAGCCCGCCACTGGCGCACGGTATTACGGATCTGCGTGACCTCTGCGTCCTCCTCCTCCGAGTGGCGCAATAACCGTGCGTCACGGCGCGCCAAGTGGGGAAGCAGTGTACCGGCGACGACAGCAACGATACTGTACATCAGCATGGCGAACTCTCCCGTCCTCGTGGCGACGTCCTGGTCGGGGTCCTTCCCTTGCTCATAAGCCATGACTTGCCCGACATAGGTCGTGGAGTAGAAGAGGAACGGGAACCATCCCATGAACGCGAAGACCTGGACGAAGCATACACGCCGGATGGGCTTAGGCAACTTGGCGATTGCACGGTAGATATTATCCAACACGTCCCGCAGCTTCTTATCTGGACCGGGTAGCTTCTGCCTCTCCTTCTCTTGCTGGGTGAAACAAGTGATCCAGACAGTTACCACTAGGATGGCTAGAGCCACGACGCAAAACTTGCGGAATTGGTCACCTCCAAGAAGACGTAGTATCGGCATATTGGCCAGGGGGAGGAAGCCCAATCCATATCCGATGATATTACCGGCATGGGTCATCCGACCATGCCAGGCATTGCCTGCGCTGAGTTGCGACGACGGAGTGATGTCCAACAAGAGGTTTCTCAGAGATGCCTGCAAGGCGTTGAGGGCAAAGTCAAGCAGGTAAAAGGCTATGATAGCAAGTACGATCGCCGTGTTCGAGACCTTGGGTTCAAGTTAGCATCGTGGAATGATAAACAGGATCATGTAGCGTTCTCACCTGAGCTAGACGCTTTGGATCCCAGTCTCCTGCACCTCCTCCCAAGATGTCGACGAAGAAGGCGGCTATTTCTCGGCAATATGCCAGGGCAAACATCGAAAGCGCAAGAACGGCCGTGGACGAGACGACCCAGTACCGTCGACGGTATTTGGACGTCGAAGAGTCAGATATTGCGCCTGTGAGCAGATTAGATTATTCGGGAGTAATGGGTACAAGTTCAAGTCATACCTATCAAAGGTTGCGCAATCAAACCGCTTATCGGTCCCGCCAGCCAGACAAGGCTGGTCAGTTGCTCAGACAGGCCCAGAGAAAGTAGGAATGGTGTTCCGTAGCTGTGTACTCGTACTTAGAATCAATCACCGATTGAACTGTCGCAGTCCTCACCCCAACTCCGCGGTCCAAGCGATCTGTGCTCCTGCCATGGACACGCTCAAACAAATGAGGTCCCATGTTGTCAGACGCCTCTTCCCTGGTTCTGAACCTTTCCGAGCGTCATCCGGCGCGCTCGGTGCTAGAGTAGGCTCGCCGATGTCGTTAGTTGACCCGTACGACCCGGAAGATTTGGACGGCGTCCTCTGCTTGCTGGGTCTGGACGGCCATGGGATCTGCGTCGTCGGGTCGGGGTCGACGTTGAGGTCGGTCGGCAAAGTCATGCAGACTCAACGGTGGGGGCGGGGATACCCAGCGCGAGAGGGTCAGGGGGAGGAGAGGCCAGGATACAAGCCGTGCTGTCCTGATGTAGGCAGCATGCCAGAGTATGAAATCCTGTTTCTCGGCACCTTCCGTGTACCTATTACGCATTTAGCCAAGCCTCCCCAACGCCACGGTGGCTATGCTGCGACTGATCATGCTTGCTTGTCAATTGTGGCGTTGAGTCTGACGAGTCTCCTATGTTTCCCTGTCGTGCTCTGGTCAGAGTTCATTTTGACGACCTACGGTTGACCAGGAGTGTCAGGTCTATTTTGCATTTGCACTTCGCACTTGCGTTTGGCTGAGGGCACGCCGTGAGTTCGAATCCCACTAGTACTGAGAGCAACGGGCAAGGGGCCGTGGGAACGTCCCGGATACTGCCGTACCCCTGTTGTCGCTGTGCTCGACGTTGCCCGACGCGTTGTCGACGCTGTTGTCGGCGATGTCGACGAATGTTAAGTGATGAATATTCCTGAAAAATACACGGAAAAAATCGGTTCCTTCTGAGCTTATTGTACCAACCTATTTAATATCAATTAAGTATTCTGTTCATTTGAGGAGCTATGCAAGAAGTCGTTGCACAATCAACGTTGCGAGTCAAGAGGTGCGTTCAATATTAAGATAAACTCTACAATTGAGATAGGGAGCATTGACGTGCGCGCCAATGTCAATGAAACTAATCCATATCCGACGCCGTTGCGCATTCCCCCTATACTGCTAGTAACGCGTCGTGGCGAATTGCAAGGGAGCAAACACACGCATGTTCGACGGTCCCGACCTGCTACCGCATTAGGTAGTCGGCAAGTGTGGGAAGGAAATTGTGGCGTCTGCCACACACCCTTGGCCAGCCTTGCGGGCTTCAGCAACATGTGTGCTCTGTTAGCTGCAAATGCTGCATGGGCAGTAGATGAGTACAAATAGCGGCAGAATAAATGCGGTGGTGTGGTATCTGTGACGCGACCCACGATGAACTTCAACAAGACAAATCTAATATGGCCACACTATCCAGCACACTCTTCGAGGGCAAACTTTCATACAAC